ATTCCACATAACTTGAGGACAATATCTTGAAATATGCAATCCCGAGACCCGTTTCTAACCTGTAATTCTTCCATTGAGGTGTCCATGGTTGTTGATGCTTCAGTTGATACTGGGGTTAAACCAGAAAATACTTACCTTTTTTATTTAATTATTCATTTATCTACTCTTTTACATATTGAATTATTCATCGAGTTTTTCATATATTTATTTTGTATACCATCTAATCCCTTCAGATAATTATACATTTAATGCAGAGCTCATTGAGAAGTGATCTGCGATGATGTTCTGTTAAAAACCTCTATACCTATTTCATCAAAAAAATAATAATTACACTGCATTATTACATAGTAACACAAAATTGGGCATAATAGAAAGATATAAAAAACGATATTTTCAGTTCAGTTCAGTTTATTAAATTCCATCTTTAAAAACATTTTTACAAATTAAAAACATGCAATTTCATGTAAAATATAATACATAAATTGGGACAACATATACATGTGAAATTAATTAATACAAAACAGAATAAGGCACAGCTGTAAAAAAAAAAAAAACAAGAAAAGGTTTTGCCTTGACAGCTTCCTATCTAATTAGATATAATAAATATAGTAAGAAAACAAGTAGCAATTAAATTTTTGGATAGTTTCATTCAGAAATTGCATAACAACCGGCAAAAATCAAGTACACGAAATGCATTATGATATGATGCAAAAGTCAGAAGATGTCAAAGGCTAAATGTGAGGGGAAAAAGAAGAAAGGGAGAGAGAGAGAGAGAGAGAGGGCGATAACAAGCTGGCTAAATACATTCAGTGTGAGTCATGCGCAATCAAGAAACTTTGAGATAAGTTTTAAACTGTTGTAAGATGAGATGGAAGTTATATTAGTTGGAAGCAAGCTCCAAATTTCAGGTGCATGATGTCTGCAAGAATATGATGCAAAATTTGTATTAACACACCATCGATGATATTTCTTCTTATTTCTAGTATTATAGTTATGTATTGTACTGTTTGTTATTAACATATTGGATACGTTTTTAGGAAGCAGAGATTTTTCATTCCTAAATAAAAATATTGCACACAAATATTAATTCAACTGGTAAACATTTAATATGTTAAGTTGTTTAAAGATTGGTCTTGAATGAGACTGCAACCCTCTTTTTTTTAGAATATATAAAAAATGCAGTACGGTTGGGTAAGTATTTGCCCAAACAATGTTGCAATAACTAAGAAACGGTAATATAAGTGTATTGTATAACATAAGGAGAACAGATTGAGGCACAGTATAGCGGAGTTTGATGATGACACCAGTATTCCTAGACATTATCTTATTAATAAGGGATATATGTGTTTTCCAGGATAAGTTTTCGTCAATAAAAATACCCAAGAACTTGGTATGAGCAACACGATTAAGAATATTATCATTCATTTTGATTTGATATGAATTGAGGAGCTCTATAGAATCGGTTTATATTTGGAATCAAAATATATAAAATTTGACTTTCTAGCATTCAAGATTAATCTATTGCATTTGAACCAATTCGATACTTTACGCATATCAATATATAAAGTGCTATATAAAAAAACAATATCATTTCAAGTGTAGAGAATATTGGTGTCATCAGCAAAAAGAATGAATTTCAATTTATCTGAACAATATGGGAGGTCATTAATATAAATAAAAAACAGTAGGGGCCCTAGGATTGACCCCTGGGGTACACCACATGAGACTTCCGAATAATCAGATAAAACACCATAATATGATACACATTGAGTTCTACTTTGTAAATAACTTTTGAACAAGATGAGTGGTAAACCTCTTATCCTATAACAGGCAAGTTTAGATAATAATATAGAGAAATCAATTGTATCAAATGCCTTGCTTAAATCTAAGAAGACACCAATAGCATGTAATTTGTTTATTAAATAATCTTGAAGATCAAAAAACAGCCAATATCGACACATGCTTTAAAAAACCGTACTTACTTTCATCCAACATAGGATTTGTGCATAAATAACTATAATTTGTACGATTATAGACGAGCCTTTCTAGGATTGTTGAAAAGTAAGGAAGTATAGATATATAGGCCTATAATTATCAACCTTATGAATATATGAATTTATGAACAGATACAACCTTTGCAATTTTTAATCTAGAGGGAACGACTCCACTGGAAATCGATAAGTTAAAATATAGTGTATTACATTCTTTATGACATCAGGATTGAATTCATCAAGACCACAACTGTTTGTAAAATTTAATTTATTCACTACATCAATAATTTCATTTTCAGATACAGCTTTAAAATATACAGAATTGGAATTTTGATTTGGCCAAAATTTGGCAAAGTTGTCAGTATTGCTTAAGAATAAGGATTTTTTTCAAAGACAGACCAACATTTACAACAAAAAAAGTTAAAATGATTGGCAATATCTTTAAAATTAGGTAGTTGTTTCCCATTTACATTCGTGAAATTAGGTAAAGCATTGTGAGATTTACCCAGGATACCATTGATTAATTACCATGTTTATTTCTTCATATTTCCCTTTATTGCATAAAAAATTTCATCTTGTAGTAGTCTTTGCGGGCAAGTTTTAATAACGTATTAGTGTTATTTCGTATTTGAACGTGTTTCCTCTTGTTTTTTCTGTACGTGAATGACAATACCTTCCATTTATTTTATTTTGAAACCTTATCTTTTTATACAAGTCAAATGTAATCCACGGTTTTCTAATCTTTTTACGAACAGATTTAAAGATTTTCTTTACAACGCTCTGTTATATAGTATTGATAATGTTGCCGGGAACTTTACAAAAGCTGCGACTACATCGCTAAATTTGACGGTATCGATCATGACTAACAGGAGCGAGAAAAGGATTTAAAGCGCAGGAGAGAAGGAAAGAAGGGGAGAGATGAGAGCAAAGAGAGAGAAAGAGTGTGTTGAAAGAAAGAGAGAGAGAGAGAGAGAGAGAGAGAAAGAGAGATAAAGAGAAGGGATGAAAGAAAAGACAATTAATTCGTTATATACAAGGAGAGTGGTGTCTCAATTGACATGCCTTTCACTCATGTAATTGCAAATTTTACGGCTTTTTTTTTCGTCGTTGGTACGATTCTGCAGTCATCAATATGAGATTCTTCAAGCTCATACATCCGCTGAGGGCGTTCTTGGTCTGGTTCCACCTTTGGTAGGGAGGTAGAAGAGGGATTAAGAGAGAGAGAGAGAGAGATCGATCGAAAGAGAGCTAGATTTTATTTGTCAAGACAGTGCACGAGAAAATAAAAAGTATACTAACATTCAATCTTACAAAAACCAAGTGAAATCGATACTCCAACACTATTACATTTGATAATATATTCTTTGAGAATTGAATAGGCTGTTTATCAAAGTGTGATTATGGATGGCTGAGCGCTAACAACGTATAATAAATATAAAACTAACATGGTCGCAACTACATTAGAAACATCAACTCTAGAGCAATTCAGCACCCCACTGTTAATATGCCATAGAAATCACGATCTGATTATGTAAAACGTCATTGTAATGTTCGCATGTTTCAAACGGTGATAAAGAGAGCTATTGAACTTCCCTTAAGTTAATATTTCAAAAGTAGTCGCAATCATGTTAAATCGCCTTTACCTAAGTTGGAATGAACGATGTTCAGGAGTTGAACTTAGGTGATAGCTATCACTTAAGTCGATTTGACAACTATTGGTCGTTATTTTCCCAATAAAAGCCTTTTTCAAGCCCTTTCGTTTTAACCCTATTTAGCCCGGGCTATTTTGAAACTGCATAGCCCGGGGTGAGGGGGGGGGGGGCTGCTTCTAAAGCCCCCCCCCCCCTATGATCTCGGCCGTGGAACGACCGATCGCCGCGAAAATTTGCATACATGTCAAGTGAAATGTATAGAATACTATGGTAATTACAATTTTTGAAAAATGCACTCATTTGCATATTTATGGTAATTTATGCAAATAAGGTCATAAAATTCACATTTTTGCCCATAAATCAGACATTATTGATATTGAAGCATTCTTTTTCACTACATATATTTATTAGACCATTTTGAATAATAATAAAACACAAAAGATTGAATAAGCAGGGTTATTCCTCATGTTATCTATTGTTTTGATAATTTCATATGTATTTCTCTGTTTTTTTAAACTATAATTAAACTATTTTGACCTCCCAAAAACACCTAAAATATAAACAAGACCAAATAACCAATGTTTTATCTCTTTATTTGAAAAATGAGATTTCCGTATGTTTTGTACACAAAACACAAAAATGAGCGATTTTCGGGTTGACATGCAAAGACAAAAGGACACGAGACTTTGTAATGGTAGGTCCGATTTTCGAAAAATTTCTTTCAAAAGATGTGCAAGACTCGAAAGAAATTTCAGTGCAAGATTTTCTTGCGTTAAAAAATTATCGCGAAAAATGTCGAGGGGGGGGGGGGGGGGGGGGGGGGGGGGCTTCTACAATATTTTGATTTTTTTTCCAGTCCGTATTCAAATACGTATATTGCTTGCATTTGTCAGTTTTAAGACATTTGAAAGAAACTGTTGTTTATACTGAGAATCGTCTTGATAAGAATTGGAAATCAAGTATTTGGAACTAAATTATTGTTACATTTTTGTTTTTAGAAATGTTGAGAGAATGATAATATCTACTTTAATTGAATAATTTTACTAATAAAGAGACAAAAATGACAGCTATTTCGTCGCATTAAAAATTAAAAGAGTTTAGCGTGACACGTGAGTGTGTGGGTGAGTGTCTGTTGTAAGTGTGTGTGTGTGTGTATATATATATATATATATATATGTGAGAAATGAATTATGTACCTATTGCATAGGGAATTATAAACTAAAAGTTAGAAACTATGTCATGATGACATTAGCACTGCAGAGCATTACGGGCTAGATCCTAACCAAAATCACAGTTTTCACATGAAGAAAAAAACACGACATAATTTAGAATACAGGAATATAATGTGCGACAAAATATCAGCGCAGTATCACATTGAAGCTAAATTTGACGGAATAGATCATGACTGACAGGGGCGAGAAAAGGATTTAAAGCGGAAAAGAGAAGGTGAGAAAGGGGCAGAGAGAGAAGACAATATACTGGTTATATACAAGGAGAGTGATGTCTCAATTGACATGCCTTTCACTCATGTAAAATTGGCAACGAATGCAAATTACACATTTTACGGCTTTTTTCGTCGTTGGTGTGGTTCTACAGTCATCAGATTCTTACTAGCTCATACATCCGCCGAGGGCGTGCTTGGTCTGGTTCCACCTTAATTAGGGAGATAGGGGATGGATGAAGAGAGAGAGAGAGAGATAGATTTTTAGTCAAGATAGTGTAAAAGACAAAAAAAGTATACTAATATTCAATCTCTTTCTCTCAAAAGTGTAGTGAAATCGCTAAAATATATAATAGCAGTATTACATTTGATAATATATTCTTTGATAATTGAATAAGTTGCTCATCAAAAAGTGATTATGGATGACTGAGCACTAACAACCCATAATAAATGTAAAACTAACATGATCGTAATTACATTAGAAACCTAAAATCAAGAGCAATTTTAACCCCCATAATTGTTTATACCATAGGAATCATGACTTTCGGCTTACATTAAACGTTATTGTAATGATCGCATGTTTCAAACGATGATAGAGGGAGCTGTTGAACTTCCCTAAAGTTAATATTTCTAAAGTAGTTGCAATCATGTTTAATCGCCTTTACCTAAAGCGTTTGTCACAAATGCCATTACGGACGGCTACGAACGCCGTACGAACGATTTTCAGACAATATAAATTCGGGAAGACAATGGAAAAACAGGGAGATTCGTACGAAATTATCGTTCGTACGAACCTTTGTGACCATAGCATTTGTTGGATTGAACGATGTTCAGGAGTTGATTAATAAGATGTATGTGCGAGTTCTTTCTATTCATATATAAACCATTCAACCAAAGTTTTGATTAACCTTTAATTCTTTTCCTTCAAAACTTAGGCAGAGGCAAATCGACATGAAGCAGGAAAAACAATACTGTTTAGCTGTCTTTGCCAAGATTCAATTAATTAAGTTGTCAAATCGATCGTTAGCTATTTCGCTAACCTCTTTTTTGTTTAGTCCTCTAATCCAAAGGACGATGAAGCGCAGAAGGAGAGCCAGCATGAGAAATGTGAAGTACAAAATCATGGGCATCGAAATTCCAAAAGCTACGGCTTCTACCTCGTTCATATCCGCTAAAACACGTAACAGACCTGTAGGTTCATACAAAGAAGATCGATAATGTATATGACTCAACTGCGATGCAGCAGTAGCCATCATAACAAATATCATCTCAATCTTAATAGCTTCAGATTTGAATAAAATATGGTTAATTTAAAAAAGAGATGATAATTTGACTTTCAGTTTTAAAGCGATTTATATTTCATTTTATAATTCGCAACATATCGTTCAGATATACTTCATATGTACAAAATGTACCAAGTGTACAAAGTGTATTAGTTAAAGAGCAATTGAATGTAAATATGTATATAACAATTTTGGTATCCCGTGCGTTAAGATATATCAGATTATTAAATGAACGTTTAATTTTTTTTAATTTTTATATAACTTGAAAATTCCATTTACATATTTCTTGTAAATGATCAAGGGTGATTCTTGAATGGTCAGTTATTTCATGGAGATACCAATTAATTTGTATTTTACCTGCTTATATGCTTTTGTATTTATCTATTTTGTTTTTGATGCTGTTATTTGTTTTATCATTACCCAACAGGGTCTCATGGAAGACCTCCACATTGGTGATATGTGCCACCCGGTATAAATATCAGAAGTAAATAAATAAACAAATAAATACAAATATTTTTCGGTACGTAGGTATTAAATTACAGGATAAGCCACTACAGACATATGATCGACGCATGTGCAGTTGAAAAGTCATGTACACAAATCTGTAAAAGCAATCGAAACGAATGCTAGAAACGGGTTCTTGAAAGTTAGGCAATCATCACCGAGTGTGCAATCTATGGTACACAAGCGGAAGTATTCTTTTCATGAGGTCAAACAAAATGTATTCATGAAGAACCTCAAACACTTGGGCAGAAAATATATTATAAAATGCACAACGTTAAACTTTCCCTTACATGTGTAAAATATCTTTGCATACTTGGGTTCTACTGTACAAGTACCTACGAAGTATCTTCGAAGTGGTCTATAGGTTGGGCAGGATGTTCAGCCATTTCTTCAGAAGCAGTTGATTAACGCTTAGGCCAAAAGTAGCATTTCCTTTCATTTTAATATCGCTTTTACTAGTCTCTATCCATTTTATTGTGGGGAACGATAATATACGAGGTTTACCTTGAAGCTTTGGGGGCGTTGTTTTGGTCGGTGCGGTCACAGCGACAGTTTCTTCGCTCGATGTCTTCAAGGTTGTTGATGCTGCCCTGGTCGTTACATGACCGCCTCGTGTCGTCTCCAAATAAACGGTAGTCTCACCTGCAGTACTCTAATGAGGTTTTTTTTTTTAAAGAGAAGTGTGATTTTTGTGATTTTTTGTCTTCATTAGTTTCCCTTGTGAAAGAATGTCATAGAAGCAATGGCATATACTGTTCTTGAAATGCCTCCCAAAAATCCAAACATGACGAAAATAGTATCAAAATGTTTACCTAATTTGAATGCCGCATGCAGGGTAATTTTTTACTCGTAATTGTATGCAGAGATTTTCATTGTCAGTGATTCGAAAAAGATTGAGTCAATCAATTGTCATTTGATGTTTTCACTACCTAAAAACACGACCTATTTGATCAACCATGCCATACTACTTGACGACATTATCTTTCACTATGCAATCACGTGACCCGTTTCTAACCTGTAATTCGTTCATCGTGGTGTCCATGGTTGTTGCTTCAGTTGATACTGGAGATAAATAGGAATACTTACTGAATTATTTTATTATTCTTGATTTTACATGTTTATTTGTTTAAGTTTTTCATATATTCATTTCTTATATCATTTAATCAATTCAGATAATTATGCATGTGCCGGATGGCTCATTTAAAAGTGGTCTTGCATTAGGTTCTGTTTACAACCTTCGTATCAATTTTATCATAGCAAACAATAATTAAACTGCATTACCACATAGCAACACAAAATTGGGCATACTAAAAAGATATACATAACAATATGTAAACCAAATCATCCCGTCAACAAGCAAAGAGAAAATTACAGGCAGTATATCTTTCTCTGGCTTAAATTTACTGACATGACTGTAGAGCTGATGGAAAATTGTCTTAAAATTGTGATTTAAAAAAAAGTTTGTTTTCACATTTTTCTCGAACTCTCGATATTTTAGGATTTTTGATCTCTTCTCCTTTGTTAATATTTCCAATGTTTTAATTATAAAAGTTAATAATTAATTGCATTCTACTGCATTTCTGAAACTAAACAGTTGTAGTTTTAATTTTGTAAGGGTGAACCTTAATCTTAATCTTAATAGCTTTAGATTTGAATAACATATGGTTAACTTCAAAAAGAGATGATAATTTGACTTTCAGTTACAAAGCGATTTATATTTCATTTTATAATTCGCAACATATCGTTCAGATATACTTCATATGTACAAAATGTACAAAGTGTACAAAGTGTATTAGTTTAAGAGCAATTGAATGTAAAGTTGTATATAACAATTTTGGTATCCCGTGCGTTAAGATATATCAGATTATTAAATGAACGTTTAGTTTTTTTTTTTATATAATTTGAAAATTCCATATACATATTTCTCGTAAATGATCAAGGGTGATTCTTGAATGATCAGTTATTTCATGGAGATACCAATTAATTTGTATTTTACCTGCTTATATGCTTTTGTATTTATCTATTTTGTTTTTGATGCTTTTATGTGTTTTATCATTACCCAACAGGGCCTCATGGAAGACCTCCACATTGGTGATATGTGCCACCCGGTATAAATATCAGAAATAAATAAATAAACAAATAAATACAAATATTTTTCGGTACGTAGGTATTAAATTACATGATAAGCCACTACAGACATATAATCGACGCATGTGCAGATGAAAAGTCATGTACACAAATCTGTAAAAGCAATCGAAACGAATGCTAGAAACGGGTTCTTGAAAGTTAGGCAATCATCACTGAGTGTGCAATCTATGGTACACAAGCGGAAGTATTCTTTTCATGAGGTCAAACAAAATGTATTCATGAAGAACCTCAAACACTTGGGCAGAAAATATATTATAAAATGCACAAAGTTAAACGTCTCCTTACATGTGTAAAATATCTTTGCATACTTGGGTTCTACTGTACAAGTACCTCGTTGGGCAGGATGTTCAGCCATTTCTTCAGAAGCAGTTGAGTAACGCTTAGGCCAAATGTAGCATTTCCCTTCACTTTAATATCGCTTTTACTAGTTTATCCGTTTTATTGTGGGGAACGATAATATACGAGGTTTACCTTGAAGCTTTGGGGGCGTTGTTTTGGTCGGTGCGGTCACAGCGACAGTTCCTTCACTTGATGTCTTCAAGGTTGTTGATGCTGCCCTGGTCGTTACCTGACCGCCTCGTGTCGTCTCCAAATAAACGGTAGTCTCACCTGCAGTACTCTAATGAGGTTTTTTTTTTTTTAAAGAGAAGTGTGATTTTTGTGATTTTTTGTCTTCATTAGTTTCCCTTGTGAAAGAATGTCATAGAAGCAATGGCATATACTGTTCTTGAAATGCCTCCCCAAAAATCCAAACATGACGAAAATAGTATCAAAATGTTCACCTAATTTGAATGCCGCATGCAGGGTAATTTTTTTACTCGTAATTGTATGCAGAGCTTTTCATTGTCAGTGATTCGAAAAAGATTGAGTCAATCAATTGGCATTTGATGTTTTCACTACCTAAAAACACGGCCTATTTGATCAACCATGCCATACTACTTGAGGACATTATCTTTCACTATGCAATCACGTGACCCGTTTCTAACCTGTAATTCGTTCATCGTGGTGTCCATGGTTGTTGCTTCAGTTGATACTGGAGATAAATAGGAATACTTACTGAATTATTTCATTATTTTTTATTTAACATATTTATTTGTTTAAGTTTTTCATATATTCATTTCTTATATCATTTAATCAATTCAGATAATTATACATGTGCCGGATGGCTCATTTAAAAGTGGTCTTGCATTATGTTCTGTTTACAACCTTCGTATCAATTTTATCATAGCAAACAATAATTAAACTGCATTACCACATAGCAACACAAAATTGGGTATACTAGAAAGATATACATAACAATATGTAAACCAAATCATCCCGTCAACAAGCAAAGAGAAAATTACAGGCAGTATATCTTTCTCTGGCTTAAATTTACTGACATGACTGTAGAGCTGATGGAAAATTGTCTTAAAATTGTGATTTAAAAAAAAGTTTGTTTTCACATTTTTCTCGAACTCTCGATATTTTAGGATTTTTGATCTCTTCTCCTTTCTTAATATTTACAATGTTTTAATGATAAAAGTTAAAAATTTATTGCATTCTTCTGCATTTCTGAAACTAAACAGTTGTAGTTTTAATTTTGTAAGGGTGAACCTTAATCTTAATCTTAATAGCTTCAGATTTGAATAAAATATGGTTAACTTCAAAAAGAGATGATAATTTGACTTTTAGTTATAAAGCGATTTACATTTCATTTTATAATTCGCAACATATCGTTCAGATATACTTCATATGTACAAAATGTACCAAGTGTACAAAGTGTATTAGTTAAAGAGCAATTGAATGTAAATATGTATATAACAATTTTGGTATTCCGTGCGTTAAGATATATCAGATTATTAAATGAACGTTTAATTTTTTTTTTTATATAACTTGAAAATTCCATATACATATTTTTTGTAAATGATCAAGGGTGATTCTTGAATGATCAGTTATTTCATGGAGATACCAATTAATTTTTATTTTACCTGCTCATATGCTTTTGTATTTATCTATTTTGTGTTTGATGCTTTTATGTGTTTTATCATTACCCAACAGGGCCTCATGGAAGACCTCCACATTGGTGATATGTGCCACCCGGTATAAATATTAGAAATAAATAAATAAACAAATAAATACAAATATTTTTCGGTACGTAGGTATTAGATTACAGGATAAGCCACTACAGACATATGATCGACGCATGTGCAGATGAAAAGTCATGTACACAAATCTGTAAAAGCAATCGAAACGAATGCTAGAAACGGGTTCTTGAAAGTTAGGCAATCATCACCGAGTGTGCAATCTATGGTACACAAGCGGAAGTATCCTTTTCATGAGGTCAAACAAAAAGTATTAATGAAGAACCTCAAACACTTGGGTGGAGAATATTATAAAATGCACAAAGTTAGACTTCTCCTTTCATGTTTAAAATATCTTTGCATACTTGGGTTCTACTGTACAAGTACCTCCGAAGTATCTTCGAAGTGGTCTATAGGTTGGGCAGGATGTTCAGCCATTTCTTCAGAAGCAGTTGATTAACGCTTAGGCCAAATGTAGCATTTCCCTTCACTTTAATTTCGCTTTTACTAGTTTATCCGTTTTATTGTGGGGAACGATAATATACGAGGTTTACCTTGAAGCTTTGGGGGCGTTGTTTTGGTCGGTGCGGTCACAGCGACAGTTCCTTCACTTGATGTCTTCAAGGTTGTTGATGCTGTCCTGGTCGTTACCTGACCGCCTCGTGTCGTCTCCAAATAAACGGTAGTCTCACCTGCAGTACTCTAATGAGTTTTTTTTTTAAAGAGAAGTATGACTTTTGTGATTTTTTGTCATTAGTTTCCCTTGTGAAAGAATGTCATAGAAGCAATGGCATATACTGTTCTTGAAATGCCTCCCCAAAAATCCAAACATGACGAAAATAGTATCAAAATGTTCACCTAATTTGAATGCCGCATGCAGGGTAATTTTTTTACTCGTAATTGTATGCAGAGCTTTTCATTGTCAGTGATTCGAAAAAGACTGAGTCAGTCAATTGTCATTTGATGTTTTCACTACCTAAAAACACGGCCTATTTGATCAACCATGCCATACTACTTGAGGACATTATCTTTCACTATGCAATCACGTGACCTGTTTCTAACCTGTAATTCGTTCATCGGTGTGTCCATGGTTGTTGCTTCAGTTGAAACTGGAGATAAATAGGAATACTTCCTAAATTATTTTATTATTTTTGATTTTACATATTTATTTGTTTGAGTTTTTCATATATTCATTTCTTATATCATTTATATTATTTATTTCATCTGAATACCAATTAAGATAATTATACATGTGCCGGATGGCTCATTTAAAAGTGGTCTTGCATAAGGTTCTGTTTACAACCTTCGTATCAATTTTAATTAAACTGCATTACCACATAGTGACACAAAATTGGATTGGGCATACTAGAAAGATATAATTAACAATATGTAAACCAAATAATCCCGTAAACAAGGAAAGAGAAAATTGCAGGCAGTATATCTTTCTCTGGCTTAAATTTACTGACATGACTGTAGAGCTGATGGAAAATTATCTTAAAATTGTTTTTATTAATACAAAAAGAAAAAGTTTGTTTTTACATTCTCTTCTCGAACTCTCGATATTTTGGGACTTTTGCCCTCTTCTCATTTGTTTAATATTTCCAATGTGTTAATTATAAAAGTTAATTTTTTATTGCATTCTACTGCATTTCTGAACCTGAACAGTTGTAGATTTTACTTTGTAACGGTGAACCCGGCTACCCCCCCCCCCTGAGCATATCTGGGAGCGTTTCCGCAAGCATGAAACTTGGACCGTCACCCTAATACTAAATCATCTAATAAAATCATCAAATGCTTCCCTTTCTTTGTTCGAATGAAGGAGGCTTAGTTTAAACCTGAAGCTCACCTAGGAATTCTCCAAAGAGCTCCATGCGAAGAGAAATATGTTGATTCCAGGTGGAAGGTAGAAGGCGAACATATCGACACGTCATTGGCACCGGGAAGCGATTGTAAACCACGGTGTTTTGGTCACTATTGCCGGGAAAGATCTGAGGAAAACACGCAAGATCGATCACTTGAGAATAGAACAACGTGTAATTTCAAAGAGAGAGAGAGAGAGAGAAATGATATGATTAACATCATGAATAAAAAGGAATTAAGAAACATTCAATAAACGAATCACACGTGATTGGTAATCGACTAATTACCTGATTAGGGTCGAAGTATGAGTAAATTGGTACTTACGTTGTCGTTGTCGGTGTTAGTGGGGTCTTTCACTGTATCAAAGGTAATACTGTTTATACTGCAGGCAATCTTGAAGCTGGTTACCCACTGGGAATAATCCTCACGACCTTGTGTTGCCACTCTTACGATGATGTACGTAGCTAAAAGATCAACCTGAGATTTGAATGATAATTGTATCGTAAATGGAAATAGTAAAAACCATGTTTGTATATACACATATATGTACAAACTTGTTGCATTAATATGACATCTATATATAACTCTACGGAGTTCCTTCGTCAATTCCTTGTTTAAAATAACAATAGTTAAAGGTAATACAAAGTTTTGGTATGGGGTCATGAATTTGGTTCAAATGAACATATTGGAAGCATATACGTTCCTACACTATTCAGTGATCGTTGTCGCGGTCGAAATCGACTCTAAAGTTATGAAATTGTAAATAATAAACACTTTATGTTGAATAGCTCCCTCTCAAGGTTAAGATATTTATTAACCTATAAAACGATGTTTATTGACTAAAATCGACCAATTAGCTATTCTCGTTCGGAAATTATATACCACAACTACATACTCTGAGATTTTCATGGTCGAAACTACCATTGTACGGCCATAGGAGCTATTTGAAATTTATCAAAATTTACCGGGAGCACCGGTAAATCTTTATATTCAATTTTTCTCGAAAGCAGAAGGGTTTTAGGGGCTAATGTTTTTAGTGCTTATAATACATCCACACGGGCATCCAAATATATCAAAATTGTAAAGAATCACTATCCACCCATTTTTCAAAATTTCCCAAAACTTTGTAATATCTTTAAACTCAGCAATTTGTTTTTTGATTTTTGGCATTCGGACCTTGGTCTCCTTCCCTTTTTCCCTTTTTCTTTTAGGTAGGGGGAAGGGGGTGGGGTATTTTTCGGAATTTGTTAATATTTTTTGTTTATTCAGTTAAAACTGTGCCCCATATAGATGTTGATTGGTTACGTGGTTCAATTGCGGGATAGTTTATTCTTGCACGCTTGATCTGAAGTATTTATGTCTATTTGTGAATATGTATCTGTAGTAATACGGCTCAGCTCTCGGACTGGGTGTGTGCATTAAATACTTAATTAATACATGTATAATTAAAAAATGCTGTTGGTCATGAGCCCTGCATACGTCGGGATTAAATGTTAGATATAGATCGTTGAACAGATTTCCAGTTTGTCAATTTTTTCAGAAGGAATTATTATTTGAAGGTATATTTGTTGTGATCTCTTGGTTGAGCGAGTAACAAGGTGAGACAGGTTATGTGTTGTGACGGAGAGATACCCTTTATGAGCTTGAGAAGCTTTATGGAGGAAGACTTCACACAAACAAGAAATAAATTCAGGAAAAGAGACTGACCTGAATTCATTGATCCAAATCATTTGTTTTGGCAGACCATCCTCCCACCAGGGCCCCGACTTTAGCTATGTTTAACCGTGCTCGACGCGGACCGTGGTCGGCGTCGTACTCACTAGAAGCTGACAAGCTCGAATCTGGGATTTCCCCACTTTCCAATCCTAGAGGGCTTGCATCCTTGATAGGACCTTTTTACAAAGAAAGAAACTTGACTTAAATGAAATAGATTAATTTGTTCTTACAAAAGTCATTGATGTAAAAAATAAAACATATAGGCTAGAGCTGCATAGTCTTTTAACGCAATAAAACTACTGGACCTCACTTATTGGCATTTTTTTTGTATGTCAGCAAATTTCGAAGAAATTTCGAAAAGAATCACAGAGAATTTTAAGGCAGTATGTCTTTCTCTGGCTTAAATGTTGTGCTTTAATTTACTGAAATAAATGTAGAGCTGATGATAAGATGCCTTTAAGTAATGATTTTTCTTTTTCTTCATATTTTTCTCGATGTTTCACTGTTCTGGAATATTTTCTTTTTCTCATTTGTAAATATTTGTAATGGTTTAATGAAAAGTGTCGAGAATGTTTTTCATTCTAAAGCATTTCATAACCCGAGCAGTTATAGTCTTCATTCTGTTAACCGTGAACCCCCCCTCCTCCAAACATTTCCGGGGCCGTCATCTTGGTAAACTTGATCATCTAGTATATATATATATATATATATACACTACATCACATTTTACCCTTTCTTGGTTCGAATGAAGGAGACTCAGTTTACACCTGAAACTCACCAAGGCGTCTCCCCAAGAGCTCCATACGAAGGGAAATACGTTGCTGCCAGGTGTAAGGTAAAAGGCGAACATATCTGCACAACATTGGCACGGGAAAGCGATTGTAAACCACGGTGTTTTTGTCACTATTGCCGGCAAAGATCTGAGTAAAACACGCAAGATCGATCACTTGAGAATATAATAAAGTGTAATTTCAAAGAGAGAGAGATCAGTGCTACGATAAACATCATCAACCAATAAAGGAATTGAGAAACGCTCAATAAACGAATCACATGTGACCGGTAATCGTAATCGACCAATTGATTACTGATTAGGGTCGAAGGATGAGTAAATCGATACGTACGTTGTCGTTGTCGGTGTTATTCGGGCCTTTCACTGTATCAAAGGTAATACTATTCATACTGCAGGCAATCTTGAAGCTGGATACCCACTGGAACTGGTCCTTACGACCTTGCGTTGCCACTCCTACGATGATGTACGTATCTAAAAGATCAACCTGAGATTTGAATGATAATGACGTTGAAGATAATATTTTTTTTTTATTTTTTTTAATTTACATGTATATATATATATATATATATATAACAATTTTTTTGTATTAATAGGACATCTATATATAACCTTAGATGAGTTACCTCGTCAGCTTCTCAAGAAAATATTTAGCAATAGCTAATAGTTAGCAATAATTTGGAAAGAGCCTCATTTGATTATGTCGGCTTCTCTAAGAATTAGTTTTGGGATTGTCGGCATTTGAATCTTGTTTTTATTCCTTTTCAGGTGGGCTGTATATCGTACAGACCACCTTATAATTTCTTTAGAATTGCCTTTATTATTTATTTATTTATTTATTTATTATATATTTTTCTTATTTCTAACCACTTTTTTGTTGGCAAGATAACTTGGAAATGGCTCCATCAAATGCATTGAAATTTGGCACACATATGTATAGGCATATGTACAAAGCACAATAACGTTTTCAACATTGACCTTTACTGATGACGTAATCTAGGCGCCATTTTGTAAAATTTTACGAAAGTCAACTCATGATCATATCTTCATAACCAAAAGGTATTTCTCATCCATATTTATTATGATCAAGGTCAATATCCGTCCGGTCAATTTCAGGTCAAAAAACGCGCGCATGCGCGTACGTCCGCGCGACAATGCGCGCGCAAAATTTTAAAATGCTCAAAATCGTCCCAAAATCATTTTGCCTACGTTTCAAGCCATTTTAAGCATTTTGCAAAAAAAAAACGCGCGTTTTCGTGCGTACTGGTATTTTCCAACATAGAATCGCCAATTTTTCTCTGTCATCATATTTGGCACATTTTTTCAAGCATTTTGATACCTTGTTCACCTTTTTCTGACCATTGATAACGGAATGAGCGTCCGTTTAAGATAATTTCCGTGCGTGCAAGCTCTTGTAATACACAGCATACATGGGCAAAAACATGCCTATACAAAATCCATTGTAGCGCTTTAGGATGCAAGGTGAACCCAATTTTTTTCCATATTTTAATAGAGTAAGAATTGGAGATATGATTTTATGTCTCATTTGACCCTCAATTAACTCATGACGTCATCATAATGGCCTCCCAACTCAAAATTTCAATTTGCATATTATGACGTCAGCATATTTCTGAAAAATTGACTGTATCTCTGTAAATTTCCAAAGTAAAAACTTCCAAATTTTGATATGATCTAGCTTAGACAATTCTCTACAAATGTAGTTGCCACAATATTTCATTTTGACAAAGGCATCATGGCGTATTTTTGCGATTAAAGGTGGCATGTCAGTTTTTCACATTTTGCGTGTATTCTCTAAGGGACATGACTTTTTCTCAAAACTGGATTCTACATCCTGTCTTTTGCGAGCAATATCTCCGTCGTTTTAGCTTTGTTTTCGCTGAGCTTTGAGTATGTTGTAGCTGAGACAATAAGCTATGTCAAATGTGCCCTTTATTTTTCGATCAGATGCCGGGATCATGCTTATATCTCACTTGCAAAGTGGGATTTGATAATTCCATTTTCCGTTTACGTGTAATCGCTATGGGAAATGTTTTGTGATATCGGTAACGCACTTGACTTCCGACCTCGAGGTCCCTGGTTCGAGTCCGGGCGTCTCCAACAATTTCTTTTCTTCACTTTTTTTTTCTTTTTGACCTTTCACTATACCATCTCCTTTGAAGGCACCAAATAATGACATTCATATTTTAAATGTAGATCATGTTATAAATGAACCCTTTTTTATAACAGAATTTGAAAAGGCAGTGCAATCGCGAAAAAGGACTGCCCCAGGAAAAGATAATATACCTTACGTTGTTTATGAAAATCTGCCAAAAGCAAACAAGGAAATCATGCTGAATATCATTAACTTAATATGGAAAACCGGGGAAATTCCAATTCAACTAAAGCATTCTATAATAATCCCCATTCTCAAACATGGAAAAGATTCCAGAAATACATCGTCATATAGACCAATTTCTTTAACATCATGTTTTGCCAAGATAATTGAACGAATGATAAAAGAAAGACTACAATGGTATGTTGAAAAGCATAAATTATTACCCAATTTTTTAAGTGGATTTAGGAAAGGTCGTAGTGTGACGGACAATATTGTACAATTAGAAAACGACATCCAAAAGAGCATAAACTGTAATGAACATGTAATAGCGGTTTTCTTGGATGTCGAAAAGGCTTTCGATACAGTTTGGATAAAGGGTCTGGTTTGTAAATTAGCAAAAAATGGAATAGAAGGGAACATGCTGAGGTATATAGAAAATTATCTAACAGCACGAACTTTTCAAGTACGAATTGGAAATATAGAATCTAAAACTTATAAAACGCATAACGGGTTACCACAAGGGAGTGTTTTAAGTCCTCTTTTATATAATATAATGATGGGTGATATACCGACAGACCAAGATGTAAGAATATCTATGTATGCAGATGACTGCGCAATATGGATATCAGGCAGGAACATTGTACATATTACTAAAAAAATACAGAAATATTTGAATCTTTTAATTCGTTGGTTTGAAGAGTGGGGGTTTCGACTCTCACCTGTCAAAACAGTGCCCGTATTTTTTACGAAAAGCTGGAATGCCGTTCTTTTTAGGGGTTATATTTGATAAAAGGTTAACTTGGCAACCACATATCGAAAATGTAATCACGAGAAGTAAAAGAAAATTAAATATCTTAAGATGTCTAACTGGAACAAACTGGGGAAGTTCCTCGAAATCAATTATTATGGTGTACAGAGCACTTATAAGGTCTCTTTTTGATTACGGATGTGAGGCGTATGACAGTGCAGCTGCTACCACCAAAAAAGCCATTGACTCTGTCCAATACCAAGCACTGAGGATATGCGTAGGTGGGCTGCCCTTAACCTCCTTAGAATCACTACAGGTGGAAATGGGGGAAATGGATATAAGAAGACAAATGCTTTCAAGTAAATATAGACAAAACATCGAAAGATGGGCGAATCATCCGTTGTTAAAAAACATTGAACCATGTTGGCATTTTGAATACTTGAAGGGGAAAAACGTAAACAAACCTTTTGGATATAGAATACAAAGCAAGCTGGGAAAACGTATAGAAACGATAACCTACTCCCCATTTCCACCATGGTTATTCTACCCTCCGGCAGTGTCAACGGAATTAAGTACTCGAATAAAGAGAACAGATCATCCTACACAACAAAAACAAAGCAGCCTGGAAATCATACATACTAAATGGGCGACTCAATTACATATATACACCGATGGATCAAAAGTACCTGAAAGAGGGACCTCTGCAGCTGCTTTTTACGTCCCTTACTATTCTGTACATCGGAGCAAAAGGTTAGCAAATGTCACCTCTTCGTACAGGGCTGAATTGGCTGCCATCATTCTTGCTCTCAGAGGGGTAGATGAATTAGACATCTATGCGGAGGTTGTTATTTTTAGTGATTCACTGAGTGCACTTATTGCATTACAACAACAGAAGGACGAATCTTTTATTCTGGAAATTCTCACCATGACTACTCACTTAAAGAATAAAGGAGTTGATATATATGTAGAGTGGATACCTGGACATTGTGGACTAAAAGGGAACGAGATGGCGGATTTCCACGCAAAGGCCGCATTAGAAAAGAAAATAGCAGTAAATAATAATCTAAATATGTCAGAAATGAAAAGATTAATTACTACAACTTCCAAACTCCTTTGGCAAGAAAGGTGGAACAAAACCAACTCGTATTTGAAAACATATCAAAAAGATGTTAATAAACCATATATATGTTCATTAGAGAGACAACATTCAACAATTATTCATCGACTCTGCTTTGGAGTCCTTGGACTTAACCAGGATCTCCTCAGATTGAGAATTCGTGCTACTGGTTTCTGTAATAGATGCCCCAGTGAAATAGAGACTGTAAAACATTTTTTAGTACATTGCCCTAACTATATTATAGAAAGGGCTATGCTTTTAACAGAAATTAACGAATCCCAACCGGAAAAAATTATGGAATACTTAAAAAAGAGTGAGTCCAGTATACAAAAAGCTATTGTACGGTTCTTTCTCAGAACGAAACGGTTCCCTATCAGGAAGTAATACCTCCCTTGATGAACAGTAAAATATAATACAATAATATAAATATGCTAAATTACACTCAGTACATTAAAAATATAATAACATAATGTAATAAGAAAATAAAATAAGAACAGTAAAACATTATACAATATTATAATATGCTAAATTACACTCAGTACATTAAAAATATAATAACATAATGTAATAAGAAAATAAATTAAGAACAGTAAAACATAATACAATATTATAAATATGCTAAATTACACTCAGTACATTAAAAATATAATAATATAATGTAATAAGAAAATAAAATAAGAATAGTAAAACATTATACAGTATTATAATATGCTAAATTACACTCAGTACATTAAAAATATAATAACATAATGTATTAAGAAAATAAAATAAGAACAGTAAAACATAATACAATATTATAAATATGCTAAATTACACTCAGTACATTAAAAATATAATAACATAATGTAATAAGAAAATAAAATAAGAATAGTAAAACATTATACAATATTATAATATGCTAAATTACACTCAGTACATTAAAAACATAATAACATAATGTAATAAGAAAATAAAATAAGAACAGTAAAACATAATACAATATTATAAATATGCTAAATTACACTCAGTACATTAAAAATATAATAACATAATGTATTAATAAAATAAAATAAGAAAAAGTAACAACAATGATAAAAGGTATGATAAGATTACTGAATATAGAGGCTTGTGTAGGTGCTATCTTATATACATATGTATGTATGGTGTGTATGTGATATAACAAATAATCTGCACGTACTGTTAAGAAACACTAACAAAGCCCATGAATGTTTTGCTTACGATATTATTTTTCGATACTATCTTAAAAGTTAAATAAATATAAAACGAAATAATATATATATTTTTTTA